ATCCACAAACGTCAAAAATGAAGCCATTCCCAGATTACCTAACCAATTTTTACATATGCCAAGCATATGCCTAGTATACCAATGTATATTCAATTATATATCTCTGCAATGTTCTGATATATATATTTCTACCATACCAATGATCTATCTACAAACATTCGATAATTCGTCTGATCTACGTACAAATGCAAATTCATCTGGTCTTCCCGCAATATGCCGATTTATCTACAAACGTCAAAAATGAAGCCATTCCCAGATTACCTAACCAATTCATCTAGTCTTCCCGCAATACACCGATTTATCCACAAACGTCAAAAATGAAGCCATTCCCAGATTACCTAACCAATTTTTACATATGCCAAGCATATGCCTAGTATACCAATGTATATTCAATTATATATCTCTGCAATATTCTAATATATATATTTCTACCATACCAATGATCTATCTACAAACATTCGATAATTCGTCTAATCTACGTACAAATACAAATTCATCTGATCTTCCCGTAACATGCCGATTTATCCACAAACGTCAAAAATGAAGCCATTCCCAGATTACCTTACCAATTCGTCTGGTCTTCCCGCAATATACCAATTTGTCTACAAACGTCAAAAATGAAGCTATTCCCAGATTACCTAACCAATTCGTCTGATCTGTGTACAAATGCAAATTCATCTAATCTTCCCGCAACATGCCGATTTATCCACAAACGTCAAAAATGAAGCCATTCCCAGATTACCTTACCAATTCGTCCCATCTTGTACAAATGCAAATTTGTCTGATCAATTCAACCACCACGAATAATTGGAATAATTTAATTCTGAAAACAGGATTTAAATGCTAGATAGTAGAGAGTATCTAATTGATCAAATGCGACCGTAATTTATTGCTAGTTGTGGTGTAATTATACAAAGGAGTTGGGACCAAAGCCTGTAGATTGTTAGGGTGAAAACTCTGCAGCTTACCGAAATGCCGCACAAACCCATAATTAAATTTCAGATAAAACCAATTGATCAGACTAATTGAGCAAACAAATTAAGCAAACAAATTAAGCAAACAGATTAAGCAAACAGATTAAGCAAACAAATTGATCAGACCAATTGAGCAGACCAATTGAGCAAACAAATCAATTAGACGCATTAGTATTTGTACACAGATGGGACGAATTGGTTAGGTAATCTGGGAATAGCTTCATTTTTGACGTTTGTGGACAAATCGGCATGTTGCGGGAAGATCAGATGAATTTGCATTTGTACACAGATCAGACGAATTGGTAAGGTAATCTGGGAATAGCTTTATTTTTGACATTTGTAGACAAATCGGCATGTTGCGGGAAGATCAGATGAATTTGCATTTGTACACAGATGGGACGAATTGGTTAGGTAATCTGGGAATAGCTTCATTTTTGACGTTTGTGGACAAATCGGCATGTTGCGGGAAGATCAGATGAATTTGCATTTGTATACAGATCAGACGAATTGGTAAGGTAATCTGGGAATAGCTTTATTTTTGACATTTGTGGACAAATCGGCATATTGCGGGAAGAGCAGATGAATTGGTCAGGTAATCTGGGAATAGCTTCATTTTTGACGTTTGTAGATAAATCGGCATATTGCGGGAAGACCAGATGAATTTGCATTTATATATAGATCAGACGAATTGGTAAGGTAATCTAGGAATGGCTTCATTTTTGACGTTTATAGACAAATCGGCATGTTATGGGAAGACCAGATGAATTAGTAAGGTGGAAGACCAGATGAATTGGTTAGGTGATCTGGGAATAGCTTCATTTTTGACATTTGTGGACAAATCGGTGTATTGCGGGAAGACTAGATGAATTGGTAAGGTAGAAGACCAGATGAATTGGTTATGTAATCTAGGAATAGCTTCATTTTTGACGTTTATAGACAAATCGGTGTATTTTTTATTAGAATATGACCAGACTAAAACAGCAATAAAAAACCGTAATTTATTAATCTTATATAATCTGACTTATACACGCCAAGACCTCTATTTTATGTAAATTCGGGCTAAACGGGCTATTCACGGGCTTTTAGGCCCGACCCGCGCGGGCTTCGGGCCGGGCCGGGCCTAGGGAGGTTGGGCCCGAAGCCCGTGCGGGTCGGGCCACGGGCCCAAATTTCGGGCTCGGGTCGGGCTTTGGAGAAGTCTAAGTACTAATAGTAATAGAATTAAGGCTTAATAGAATTAAGTATTATTAAGAAATTGTAGATTATATTTTAGTTATTAGTTATAAAGCTTACTTTTATAGCTATATATTCTATATAGAGATTCTCTAATTTTATTAATTAGCTATTAATTACTATATCTTTAATTAGTATTATTACTATAACTATCTATTATCTCCTAATAATCTAGACCTACTTTATATCTATATAAGAGAAATGTGATTATAGGGTAGCTAATAGCTTATTAGTCTCCTATACTTTAACTATTAGATTCTAGATCTTAATAGTAAGTATATTCCTTATTCTCTTAGAGACCTTATTAAGTACTAGTTTAATTATCTTATACTTAGATAGATTATTATTATAGTCTTTCTAATTATTATTATAGTTAAGTTAGCTATTTATTATTAATTAACTCGTTATATTATAATTATACTTTTTATAGTTTTTATTTAATTAAATTAGCTTTATAGGTAGGGTAGGCCGCTTTTCTTTACTAATATTTAGGTTAATATAATCCTAAATATCGAGATTTTCGGTAATTATCTCTACCTATATAAACTAGGTTTACTATTAGGTTAAGTTCCTTAGAATAATATATACTCTAGGTATACTTAAGACCTATTTAGTAATCCTATTAGGATTGTTATAAAGGAATAATATCTTATTTTCTACAGCTTTCTTATATAAGTTAGTAGAGGATAGATAGGAAGTACTAGGTAAGTAGAAGTACTTCTATACTTAGGGGTATAGTAGCTTATAGAATAGACCGCGGTAGTATTTAATTGCAATTAATATACTAGTAAACTAGGCTTATAACTATTGAATAAAAGAGAGGCTGTTTTGTATGGTACGAGCAGTAGGATACTGGACCAAAGGGTAAAATGAGTATAATTGTGAAAAGGAGGGTTCTCCTCCGAGATCTATCTTGGTATGTATTTATATAATCGCTACATATGGCTGCTGACTACTAATATACCACCAGATGTAAGGAACGTACAGAAGTGCGTCATTTCTGGTCGACAGTTAATAGGGCAGAAATTTGAATGAACCATCGCCGGCGCAAGGCCATGCGATTCGTTAAGTTATTATGATTCACCAAGGAGCCCCGAAGGGCGTTGGTTTTTTATCTAATAAATACACCCCTTCCTGAAGTCGGGGTTTTTAGCATGTATTAGCTCTAGAATTACCACAGGTATCCATGTAGTAAGGTACTATCAAATAAACGATAACTGATTTAATGAGCCATTCGCAGTTTCACAGTACAAGTTGCTTATACTTAGACATGCATGGCTTAATCTTTGAGATAAGCATATGACTACTGGCAGAATCAACCAGGTAACTTCATCGCGAGGCGTCCCGGAGGCCCACCCGCCTGACGGCGAGAGGCTCCCGGGGGCCCAGACCCCCGAGGGGGTAGAATGTTGTTAGATGGAAGGGGCGCACGAGGCGCCCGGCCACGGCGGCACCCCCGGCGTACCGGGGGGACACTGCGGCCATCCAATTGCCCCCACTAAACTCCTCAGCACCAGTCCGCACGCAATTGATACGCCAGACGCCCGTGAAGGCGCTGACTGGTTGTTGCCTCTGAGAGATAGCAGTTCTGAAGAGACCACTGTCGGTCTCCAAACCTCCTGTTGACCTTCAAAATCCATACTTGCCATTTTCGGAGCGCTTAACATTGGAAAGGGGTTGGGTACCAGCAGAAGACGGACTTCGCTCCGGCATCTCCAGAGGATGGCATAGTCGTACAGACAGTCGATAAGGTGTATATTGCTCGAAATAGCGCATAGAAATTGACAAAGACTCCGTCCCAAAAATAATTGTAAAGATTTGTAGGAAAAGCGTGAGTTAGTTCTGGCCGCGGAGAGAGAATGATCCAATAGCAGCTACTTGAGTATATAGTATGTGGAAGCCATTGTTCAGGCTTACAGGTGATTGCTAGGAGATCTGTGTTGGTTCCACGAGGCCTTGCGTTGGGGAGATGAAATCGGAGCGAGGAGGTTGGGGGTGGGGGAAGATGTTTAGCAACAGATGCAGTGTCTCGCCGGCCATAACCCGTCATTGGTACATGGTGAGGTCTCTGATCTTTCCTCAAGTGTGCCGTTTGCCCTGACCAGTCAATTAGTATCAGTGCCAGAGATTCATGGGTTCTATTGAGATAGATGTGACAATTGAGGAAGTAAATGGCTTAAATATTCCAGCCTGCCATTTATCTCCTTACGAACTTGTTGACTAACCGGGGAGGAGTTACATTGGATGCGGTCGCTAGAGAATTGGACAGGCATTGGGAAGTCAGGAGCGTGGAAGAATACCTGGGTGCGTACACTATTACAATCGTTTTAGGCGTTGATAGACAGGTTGAGGTGCGAGACCTAACCCCAATAGGCCTCCAATAGAACATTTTCTTTAAGAGTAGATGAAATACTAAAAGGGATGACGTAGGTCAGTTGCTCCATCGATTGGAGCATTTGCTGCTCTTTCACTCTTAGCTTATTCTCAATATCAGCCTTCCCGCAACTCGAAAGCCTCAAGAAAGTTTGAAAGGGCGATGGCAGACATTGTTACACGGTATAATCCCTTTGTCAAGTGGACCCCAGGTTTTCAAGGGCAAGTGGCAGTGGTAACTGCATGTCTCCTTGTCTGCCCGACCCGTTAGCTACCCGGCAATGAGTAAAGTGAACCTTTAGGGTGGACAGGCAGGTATCGGTAAGGGCAAGTCATAAGTTCCTGGGAAATTATTCGTATTCCAATATCCACAAGGTTCTTACATAGATGGTCTAGCGATAACAGCCCAACTTTTGCTTCATGGAACAAACCAACCATTGTCCGTTCTCGAAGCGAAGACAGGTTTCATACGGCGTTCAAAGATTGGAGTCATCGTCACGCGCGAAATGGCCGGCTTTGTTCGATGGTGTGAGGCGATACGGTCGGTTGAAGCTGGGTAACATTTTGTTCTCCAAAGAACTCACCTATCTCCTGCTGCAAGACGAAGACCCGGCTAGCAAGAGAATGTACGTCAACTCTTTCCTCCCAGGTAACATCGTCACCGATCAATGGGTACCTTGGAATTTATACTTCGGTACTTTAATCGGCTCATCGATACGCCTTGCGGGTTAATTCTTCGGCCAACGTTTGGAGCAAGGCGCTGCCACAGCTCTGTGCCTCGCTGCAAGGTCCGATGTAAGCAGACATCATACATGGATTTTGCGGTCCTTATTTTGTAGCGGTTGCTGTGCCAAGTGATCCAAGTTCGATGGGGAAGGGTATGATATTGGGCCGGAAGCTTTGGGTATGTTCTATCGAAGCCTCGCATATGAGGTTGCTAAATACTAGCTCTACTCAGGACTGGATTGGCAGTCGGATAACTGCAACGCTGGGGCCGAACTGGCAACGCGATGTTGCGAAAGGGGCAAGACGATCCTTCGGGTTGTCAAAACCTAATCTATGCCGCATAATTCTTGCCCTTCGCTTCATACCAGTGTTCATTGTTGACATGTGTAAGCCGTTCATCTTGCTAATGATTCGTGATAGAAGTCAGTGGCCAATACTGTATGGGTTCCAGAATGGTAATATCGATCTCTGTAGCTAACTAAAAATATCAAGCTGGCAGTATTGTAGGACATGCTGACAAAGAGTAATATTCACTTTTTTGTGAGGTGTCTGATATTGATGTCGAAAGTTATTCTGGGTAAATAGCCAGAAATCCCATACTGATTTACCATATTTCTGACAGTTCGTTCCAAATACTAAAACGATGCTGAGGCTTCATGCGGTGCTCAATGAAAGTCCACAATGTACAGAGGGCCTTGTATGTGGCTAGCTACCCCTGGAACAAAATGGCAATGAGGGACAAGACTCTGGATAATTATATGGCAGAAAATGTGGTGGGCTGGCTTCTAAACCCTATGTTTCCTGCTTCTACATTGCCTGGCTTCGCAACCCGAACATATTATGTCAATCTGATAATTTACGCTACGCTACGGGGTAGAATGGTCAAGGGAAAGGAATAAAATTTGAATAACAGAAAAGATGCAAAAAGAAACTGCTTCCATATAATTATATGTATCTACGGAGAGAGGAAATGAAGGATTTAGATGAAATGTGCGGGCCACTGTACATCCTACTTACTGCCCTCGGAGACACTAACTTGTCAAACCGAAGAAATTGATATTGGGGTTGCCCAGCTACGCTTTAAAGTTATGATTTTGCTTTTTACGAGGTCTGCAGATAAGTGCAAGTACTTCGCGCCAAAAAAGAAAACTGAGAGGTTCATTTCTGAAAGTAATACAAGTCCAATTACAAGTCCAATTACAAGTGAAGCGCTGACATCAGCCCAGGCTCACTCTGTTGATGGGTTGGGCATTCCAGCAGTATCAGGCCATTTGCGGAACAGATCCGCGAGATGGTCGATTGGTGCCGCCAGAAGCCCCACCGCAGTCTCATATGGGGGTTTGTCTGGTGCACTAGGGTGAGAACGCGAAGGAACAAACATTTTTGTCCGGCCAAAACTCTTGGCATAGCTCTCGCTATCTTCTTCGGATAAAGCTGCTTCCAGCTTGGGCAAGTCGTCGTTCTCTTCCTCTTTGATATGCTCGGACAGATTCTCCATCAGCTCTTTAATGGTAGGAATGAACTTTAGATCTGAAGGTGTCATGTTCTGAAATACCTTCAGTTGCTCTTTGACCTAAATGATTGTGAGTTGCTGGGTGGGGGCGGCGTGGGTTTAAGAGAATAGAATAGAACAGCCTACCTTTAAATGCTCCTTGCGGTCTTTATTCGCCATCTCGACGCCACCAGGAAGCAGCTTTTCGAAAATAGGATAAACGACCAGTTCCTCTCCAATGGAGTGTCGAGCTAGTTCCCAAGTGAAGAGGTTTTGGAAACGCGTCTGCTCATCTTTATCCGAGGCGTTGATGATCTTGTCATAGTATGACTCAATCTCTCGATGATCCTTTTTCATCGCGTTGCTAATTCTGGGCCCCATAGCGATAGGTGAGGATGCAAATCCTCGTCGCTGAACAATAGGAAACAGAGCCTGTCTGAAATGCGGTGTTCCGGATGAACGAACAAACATATTACTCCAAACTATCCCTTTTACAATTTTATTGAACTGGAAAGTGGCCAAATTTATATGTGATTTGGCCGTCACGGGGGTGAACGCGTCACAAGCTCTTGCTTGCCACTAAATCCAAGATCATCCTGACGTAGAACGGTTCACCCAAGCGATTAATGCCGTGAGAGGTCGTTTTTTCGCTTGAGCCCAATAGATAACTACACCAGAAAACAAGACAAAGAACTAGGCATGATCAGACCAATCAGAAGAAGTGTGATGGTAAGCATCATCATGACGGCGGGCGGCAACACCTAGCTCCCTTCCACCCCATTTTAGTTACAGCAAATCCAGTTTTTTGACAAATGATTGATATGCTAGCTGCCGAATCCATGCGTTTGTGATGCTGACTAGAAATCAAGGCCAGGTGTAATTGGTCCAATTTATAGGTGCTGTCCCCTTTTTGCACAAGATCACATGCAATCAACGATCACGGTTTGTTTATGAGGAATCTGGATATTTCCAACCCTGCTTGATTTTGGTGTTCCTACCAGTAGCTACTACGCATGCGATGCAGATTAACTTCATGGTGCGGGGCCCTTGCCCCCGAGTCATCGATTCAAGCGACGATTAGTGATGCAAAACTTCGAACAAGCATACAATTGAAATTACTCGATTGGGTACTCGGCCCTAATCGATGCCATGAACGTCTTGAAGTCATACTTGGTCATAATTCATAACGCAACCATTGTTCCTGACTTCCCTGAAGGAGGCAATGGAGCCTTCAAATATTCCAGACAACTAACGACGTCACGGCGCATGGCAAGGCTGTTTGCACCGAACTCATACTCCAACTAAGCCTAGCGCTGTAGTGGCTGCAATCATTGTGCAGACAAGGATCAAGCGCGAGCGCATCCTTCGAGTTACATTGTCTCCGATCAGGAACCTGAGGCCTATCTCTGGGATCTCTAGCCCACGCTCCTGAATGAGTACAAACGTCTTTAGTACTGTAATCTCACATGCAAATTGTTGAGAAAATGGCCTGAAGGGGGAGATCTGGCAATCTGACATGGTCCCTATCCACGCCCAGTCCCTTGCTTCTGTTTCCCCGTTACCTTCGTTATCCATCCAAATTTGATTCATAACTGCTCATCTCCGGCCATCTCCAAATTTCTGCCTTGCTCTTCGACATCTGTTTGGGACCCACGTAGAAACAAAGGGTTTGCTGTTCGTAGCAGTGTGAGCACTGCGGCGGAGCGTGATCGCAGAGGACATTCAACTCGCGACATAATTTGCAGTCAAATAAATTACTCTGATACAGCTGTACAGAGCGCGGCGAGTCGACCGGGCGCGAGTCGGAAGGGGATTCCGTCTGGGACAGGAATAGTTCTTTTGAGACTGGCGACTGAGGCGCTCTCCGAGAGATCATGGTTGGCTCGACTGAGCACCTAGGGACGACCGCGCTGGCTTTGACAGGGAATGTGGTCTGTGAAGGGCATTGGCAAGAATCACTTTTGGATTGACAGTGCTTTCTTATGTCCGTTAGTTATCCTGGGGTCGGAAAATGAACTCCTTCCAACTTGCCGTGGCGCCCAACACGTCATGTTTTAGTAATGACGCGGAAGTCGGTCCTCGTTGGTAAAATGACAATGTTTTGTCGCTGGCAGATTTGGGAAACGTGGAGGCAAATATTCAATGGAGGGGACTGACCAGCTCTTCGCCGAACCCTGGAAGTTATAATTCATTTGCAGCGAGCGAACATGACATATCTGTTCAAGCCTTCAACCGCAAGCCCATGTACGTAACAGCCTTGTATTGAGCATTGAGGGGAATTTGTGGGCTGGTTGCGGCGGTAGTAGTAGGGTTGCATGCGACTTACGTCGCTCGAGCCGCCCACGCTACTTTGAGAATACCGCCTCGGATGGCTCAGCGAACCCAAATTTGGAACGAACACTAGAACGGCCGCGTTACCTCCTCAAGCCCTTCAGTCCTTAATTTGTAGTCTACCATTAGTGCTGGTTCGAATACAAATAGCTCAAACACTAATGCCCAAGGCAGAAAGGACAAGCAAAGGCGCAAAAGGCAGCCTCCCAAAAGCTCAAGGCGGAAAAGAAAGCCTAAGCGAAGGAGGAACATGGCCAAGGAAGAAATGAAGGTAACAAACGAAGCGATGGATAATGAACCCTTCGAGGTCTACAGGCCCGCAGGTTTCATAGAGATATCAAATCACAGAACTCCATGTCAATTCGGATGCTAGTTGTAGTCCATTTGCTCGGGAAGATGGGAGGTCATTTAATGTGATGGGTGGGTGACATGAAAATCTGTGTAGCTTACTCCGTCGATAACATCGGGATATGGCCCCGCAGCCAACTTAGGTACAGCCAGCTTGTGAAACGTTTTGGATTTCTTTGCATACATCGAGCCCTGCAGGCCATAGCCTCGGGTCCCCAATATGGGCTGAAGTCACTCGCACAGTTCCACTGATCTATCCCGTAAGAGTCCAGGTCAACTATAGCCCCATCTGACCGGCCCCAGCGAGTGCTTCAGCTTCTGGGGCAAAGATAAATGGTTTGTGCAGTCTACCTGCAGTCTATCCCAGCCCTTGGAAAGTACTTTCGTGCTAGGAAATGGACAAAAGACCATAGCGAGACACCTCTGGCACATTCCCCTTGGCATATTCTTTTCTTTCACGTTTGGGAACTGAAGTCATTCTATTCGACAAATCTCCACGAGGGTTGACAGCTCGATATTCGGCACAACCGACAGACGATGCTTTTATGCGTCTTTTGAATCCATTAAACGTAGGCCCAGGAGATCAAACGCTCTGAAAACTTGCTCAATCGGTTGATTCTATAGCTTTCAGTAAAAATACGAAGCGGAAAATGAGAGAATAGGATAAAAGGCAGGCTTACACGTGCCACATCTTCGGCATCATCCGATGAAAATCGGATTGTCTCATTGACCGATTCATGATTGTGAGCTAAGTCGTCGATCCAACGATCAACAGCGCTGAGATCCCAACACCCCCCACTGGGTCTAAGGAATGGATGCTGATCAGTGACAGCGATGACTTTGTGTTCAATGGCGCCAGGTGAACGATTGTAATTTCGACGCAAAAGAAGGCAACTAAGCGTTATAGGTTGAATAAGTCGGGAGGAAAAATAGATCGTTATACCAATTTCTTCGTTCGACTAAGATACTTCATTTGACATCGCAAGTTGCTCTTTAGTTCGAAGCAAAACTCAAGGTTCTTGCCGTTGTATTCCAGAGGCTGTAGCGACAGAGAAGAGCAAGTGAATTACTACTCTCTCTACGTCCAACCGGACCGGATTTCTCAGTTGCGTCATAAGAGCGGCCGATGGTACCGAGTTGGTGCCGTTCAATCACGTGTTGTGTATCCGAGTCCACCGTATCCCTGGTACGCATGTGGCATGTGTCCATCTTCATACCACCGAGCAAAACTTATATGCCGAACGAAGTATTGAATATGTTTGATGCGACTGTATGAATCGCGACAGCGAATACAACTCATCCCTCCAGCCACTAAGACCCCTTCCGAGCCGGGCGATGACGATATGTTCGCAGAGGATACGCCTGTCAGCCAGAAAACTACCTTTTATGACAAGTTTGAATCAATACGTTCTCCGAAGCAGTCTTGCACATGAGGTTGCAAGAGACTTCTTGATCGAAGCCCGCGTGTAGCGAATTGAAGCGGAGATCAATTGCTACCGAGTCTGGTTATACCCGCTCCCCAAGAATGGACACATCGCGAGAAATGTAGGCTCGAGAGTCAAACTCGGAAGAGTCATACCAAAGGCTATTGCACCGACATCCGCTATATCACCTCTTCCTCGTCTTCCATCACCCACATCACCTGTCGTACCGTGCCTGTCATCCTCGATAGCCGTGCTACCGCCAACCCCACCGTCAAGCCAAACCCCAAAGAGAAGAATACAAGTCGCATCCCAAGACCGAATGCATTCCACGGTATCAGTGACCGCAGGATCTCTTCTCCACGACACGACTCCTCCGAACGTAATCCTGCTGCTGGTAGGCGTGACTACCGGTCTACTAACAGGTACAACTGGTTCGCATATGCACATCCATCAAATCTGTTATGTAAAGTCCTCTGCTCTTCAAGCATAACTAGTATCCGACGCCCGCCATCTGACACCTACAAACCCCCCGGTTTGTATAGCGTTGGCAACACGAATATCGTTGAATGGCCAAGATGCGAGCAAGCTCAGCCGCGCAGAGATGGACGCGGGCGCACCGGTGCTAGAGGCCAAGGTGGCGTTTTTTATACCCGAGGCGGAGGCGGTGTGTCTTGTTGGGAAGGGTATATGGGAGGCTGATTGGAGAATTCGTCATGGCCGGCCGATTCGCAAGGAGTTTCACTATGGATGACAGTGAAAGACAGTGAAAAGGAGAATATGGGCTGTACGTCTGGTTTCAAGTGGAACGGAACACCTTTCTTCGTAGCTACGACCACTAGCGGGCTGGCGGCCGGAATGCGGCCTGCGGAGAAAGTGGCTATCTGGACGGCGCTAGGGAAGTGGGTGGTAAGGAGGAGAGATGAGAGGGCACTGCCTTCTGTCTGAATACAAGTTGTTGGGTGACCGGAAGGCGGTCACCCATGTGGGTCCAGATCACTAGATAGCTCCGCTCCCTCTTCCTCTCTTTCTCTCTCTCCTCGTCCATCAGATCTTAGCGAATCTACACTAGTTGTTTTCCCCTTTTCAGGTACAACATAGTTAGACACGCCATTACAAGTCTAAAAGGTAGTGCGTCTGGCTCGATTACGTATGGTTGATTGATCAGATACGTACCGAGGATATCGGAATAATAGATAATGTCGGATTGACGGATACTGGTATGTGCTAGTATTGAGGTGTCCCATTGAGATGCATTGATTGTTGTTCTATCTGGATCTTGCTGTTGAAGCGTTATCAGATCTCAGGAGTCGTTCCTAGCGTGTTACGACGCTGGTATGCCGAGCGTACCCCGTTTACCTTACAGAGACAAAGAGAGAATGGGTACTTGATGAATAACCCTGTCCATAGTGGTAAAATACCACCCCTCAGTTCGACACGAACTTTCGGCAACATAGAGGTAGGCTATAACAGATCTATGGTCATTTTCTGTTGGCCGCTCCCACAAGAAAATACATAGTACGCGTCTTGGGTATGTAATTGCCTCAAACCAAGGAACGATAACGGAACGGAGTTGAAGAAGCTACAAACCGCGCGCCTGTGGCTCTGGCTTAGGACTCAGCACCAAACAAGCTGCCGTATTGGGATATTCTTGAAGACTTGAATAATAATTTACAACTGACTAAACTGAGAAAAACAGACCCTGTAAATCCGAATTTTACTTCGATATATTCAGTGCATTGATTGTTCCGACGCCCGCAATACCTTAGATTGTGCCGGCTGCCAGCAAGTAACCACCGTCCACGACAATCGTTTGTCCATTAAGGTATTGGTTCGAGACAGTAAACAATACAGCACCAGCCATATCCTCATCTTTCCCTGGGCGTCCGGCGGGGACTTTGCCTTCAAACTTCTCTTTAGGGATCGTGCTCTTTTGCTTCTCGTCACTGTCCCCAGTCGTCATTTCGGAGGGGAATGCCCCGGGCGCAATATTGTTCACACGAATTTTAAGTTACAAGGAAGCAATCTCGTGGGCCAATATCTTAGTGAGATAAACGGCGGCTGCCTTACTAGCGTTGTAGGCAAAGTGATGCTAGGCAGTTTTGATAAGACCTGAAATCGACGAGATATTAACAGCTGTACTAGACCAGCCATACTCGTCCGCTGTTCCCTTATTAAGTAAGGGCAGGAACGCAGTGGTTATAAAGAAAAGCTGTGTGACATTGGTACGTATAACTTCTTCCCATTCCTGAACTGTGCTCTGGTTTTTGAACAGCTCTTCCTGTAATGCTTTGGGGTCCTTATGATCGGTGTTCTGAGTTAGAGAGCTAATACCGGCATTATTAATCAGAATATGTAGTTTCGACTCCTTGGCGGAAATCTCGTTAACTAGCTTCTGAATCGACTCCTTTGAGGTGATGTCGGTAGCGATTGGGATAATCTGGCCCGGGATATCCTTAGAGTATAACTCTGCAACGCGCTCCAGTTTTTCCTTTGTGCGACCAGTAATATAGACCTTAGTGTTACGTGCCGGGTTCTCTTTAGCAGAAGAAGTGCATTGCTAACGAAATATCAAGTATGAAGAAAAAAGGAAAAGAAAACAAAACATAAAATAATAAACGGGTCCTTATACCCCTTCGGGGGCAAAGCCCTATCCTCGCTTAGCTATGAAGGAAGGTACGATTGCTTGTGTAAACGACCAACGGTATGATCCTAAACGGGAAGGTATAAGTTCTATATATGCTAATTATAATATAACCCCTAGGTAAGAATATATTTAGTCCCTAAATACTGGCTTCTCGTTATCTATATGGTTATCTAATATTCGATTATCCTATATAGCCTCAATCTATTCTTATAGATATATCGGCGGTCTAGGCTTCGCTAGATAGGTATTATAGAATTCCTTAATTATCTCTAGAATATTCTTAAAGTTACCGGCCGGGTACTATATAGGATCTAGGTTATATCCTAACTACTATATATAGTATTACAGCTTCTTATAATACTTTCTTATATCTAGGATCTTTTTAACTTCCTACTTATTAGTCTATCCTACTTATATTAGAGGTAGCAGATCTATATATTATCCTATAAGTAGTTCTATACTTACTACCTTCTATAGCTTACTTAGGTTAAATACTAGGTAGATATTAATTAACTATAGTAGTTCTAACTTATATATATTCCTAATCTTTTCGATAATCTTATAGGGTCTACTAGTTATATAAGAGAGTTTTTGACTTAGATAGTCCTATAGCTAATCTTTTATAGTAATAAAGACTAGGTTACTAATATCGAAGTCCTCTTTATAATAATAATAGTTAGCCTACTATATTTATAGTTCCTATAACTTCGCAATTTATTTATATATATCTTCCTAGATTTATTATAACTTCGAGAGTTAATTAGCTACTTCTTATTTATTATATATTAATCCTATATAATTCTAGTTAAAAGATATTACTAGTTTATAACCCTATTTAATAAAGAAAGGGGACCTCTTTATTATATCCTATAGAAGAATTAATACTATAAAATCTATTATTAGTAGGTATTCTAACTAGTTATCCTAGTTATATTTAATATATAGTCTCAATCGCTATACTATAAACTGATTTATAATTTCGCTCTAGCTATCTATCTATAGGTAGTATATAGTAGATAGTTTTCGTTTAATCCCTAGGATTCTATAGAACTCTATCTAGAACTTAGAGATAAACTATCCTCCTTAGTCTAATATAATAGTCTTAGGGATTCCTATAATCTATATAATATTATCTATAAATAGATATACTATCTACTTTATATTAGTATCTTTATAATAGGGGATTAATATTAGTCTTTTACTTAGTTAGTTAATAATAATAAATACTATATTATAGCTATATCTATCCTTTAGGAAGGAATAGAAATCTATTAATAGATATTATTATAGTTATTTAGGAATTAGTAGTAGGTATAGGAGACTAGGTATATAATCTCTCTAGGTCTTTATATATTTATATATTAGATAGTTATCTATATATTACTTTATATCTATAACCTATCCTAGCTAATAGTATCTAGTTATAATAAGCTTCTTAAGTTTCTTAATACTAGGGTATATAGTTAATAGTTATTAGTATATTTTATTAAGTAACTATACTTAAAGATCCCCTTTATTAGGTACTTCTAGATAATCTTTAAATAATAGTAATTTATCTTATACTATCTAATAGGGATCTATTTAATCTCTTATAATCTATTAGAATACTTCTAGCTCTAGGTTCTAGTAGTTTATTAACTAGACTTATTTAGTTATATCTAGGTCCTATATAGTCTTAACTAGTAGGGGGGGGAACCTTAGTATCTTATATAGATTCTATCTATAAGGGGGATACCTTAATTTCTAGTACTAGTTCTATTTCTTCTCTAAAATATTCCTTAGGGAGTAATATAAGATATCGATTAATATCTATATAGGGACTTTCCTTTCTTAAAAGGATATCTACGATAATATTCTGTTTCTTAGGGTAGTATTTAATTATAAAGTAGAACTATAAGAGGAACTTACTCTACTATACTTATTATTAATTTATCTATTATACTATTATAAAGTATTTAAGAGATTAATAATCTATAAGGATCTTAAAATATTCTATATAAGAGAGTCCTTTAAGTTCTAGGTACTATTCCTAGAGTATATAAATAATTATAAGGAATTCCTTATCCCTGATTTTATAATTAAGCTCTATAGGTTATATAGTCTTTAAGAAGAAGGTAATAAGATACTAAAAATTATTAGCCTTATAGTATTATAAGAGAATAGTACTAATAACTCTATTTAAGGTATCTATCTCTATATAGGTCTAGAGGTCTAGATTATAGTACTATAGGATAGGTATAGTTATTAACTTATACTTTAATTATATAAATACTTACTTATAGTCTAGTAACTATTCGTATACTATATTATATTATATAAGATAGTATAATAGTTTTAAAAGGAAACTATAATCCTTAATAAATTATCGATAGAAGTTATAGAATCCTAAGAAGGATTATATTCCCTTAATTATTAATAGTATCTTCTAGTTCTTAATAACTACAATCTTCTCTAGATCTATTATAATACCCTTAGTACTTATAATAAATCCTAAGAACTTAGTTTTCTATATAGAGAATTTATACTTAGATAGTATAACCTATAATCCTACCTTTTATAGTTATTTAAGGACTTCTCTAATATACTTCTTATATTCTTCGAGTATCTTACTATAGATTATAATATTATTTATAAATATAACTATATAGTTATCTATATAGTCTCTAAGTACTATATTTATAAATCGCTAGAATATTACTAGACTATTTATAAGACTAAATAGAGTTACTTTATACTTAAATAATCTATATTAGGTATAGAATATTATAAGATCTTCTATAGCTAGTATTAATCTAATATAGTAGAAACCTTAATAGATATTAAGCTTTATAAAGAACTTTACTTTACTTATTTATTAGAATACTTTATTAATAAGGGGTAATAGGTAATAATCTTTCCTTATAATTATATTTAATCTTTAGAAATCTATATAGAAATATAGACTACTACCTAGTTTCTTAGCTATTAAGATTAGTAAGGTATATAGAGCTAAACTAGGTATAATAAATCCTTTTTTAAGGTTATTAAGGATATACTATTTTATAGCCTTTAGTTTATTTAACGATAATTTATAAAGTAGATAGTATCCTAGCTATACCTCTACTTTAAGGATAATTTTATAGTCTATCCCTAGGCAATATAGTAGTAGTTTATTAGACTTCTTCTTAGAGAATACTTCTATAAGATTATAGTATTCCTTTAGAAGGATTTGTTTAATCTTATTAAGTTCTATATCCTTTATAATTATAGATTTAATATTAATAATCTAATCGATTTTATAGAGTAAGGTCTAGAAGACTTTGATATCTTTATTAATAACTATTTATATTTATAAATAATTAAATCCTACTTAGCCGATAATACTAATATCTATTAGTAGGAGAACTTCCTTTATTTCTTCCTCTAGTACCTCTATTTAGAGAGGTACTAGTTTAATTTTATTATTTAGGTTTTATACTATCTTATAATACTCTTTGATTTACTAGTATCTATATTAATATTCCCTTATAATAGGGTATAGCTTCTAAGTCTTTAGGTCCTACTATAGATTACTTAAGACTTATTTCTTAAAAAGATAATTATATTATTCTATATCCTTCTAGTAATCTAGCTTAATTTATATAGGCTGTTTAAGGATTATTATAGGTATTAGTATAGTTAACTAACCTACTACCTTATTAAAAAGGATATTCTTATCTAGCTAGATTATATAATACTGTTGGTAGTTAAGGAGGATATTATTCTTAGTGAATTATATATATCTAATAATTATATTATATCTACCTAGATCTACTACTAGTATAGGAATCTACTATTAGATCTAGTTATCTATACTTAGTATAAGGATAATAGTATATATAATTAGTTAGGATAATTTACTATCGAATCCTCTAACTAGATACTTATAGTCTAGCTTATAGATATATAATCTAAATTTCTTACTAAGTAGTATAACTAGTTCTATATTAATAAATATTAAGCTATCTACTCTAATATCTACTAGTACTAAGATTATAAAGGAATATCTATTATAAGTCAATCTTATATTAAATACTAAACTATCTTATAGACCTCCTAAAAGCTTATATAGATCTAGTATATATAGTAATACTTATTTCCTACCTAGGATTAAGACTTCTCCTAGGCTATTACTTTTCCTAAGTCTATATTATCCTCTAATTCTTTAAGTTTAGTTATATATAATTAGCTATAGGTCTAGTTAGTTATAGCGATAGTATTTATAGCTATATTTACCTTTTTCTTTAGGCATTCGAATGTTATATATCCCTTTTCCTTATAGTAGAAGTATTAACCTT